CACAAGTCCAGGTCCGAACAACACATAGCTGAGCCACAGAGGGCCCGGCCAGAAACCAATTTGGCCTGACGGAGCTTGGTGGTGGGGCTTGAGAAGCCCCGCCACTTGGATTCGCCATGCGGCAGCCTTGGGCGGCGGATCACTCCATGGTCCGCCCCCTTGAGCCGTTACTCTACGGAGGTCCGTCGGCTAGCACTGTGAGGCTATTTGGTGCACCGGACATTGTGCACCAGAGGCCTTCTCTTCACCTGTAGACAATATTTAGTGCAAAACAACACTCCCAAAACTTCACCGATCCATCATGGACCAACAATAACTCAATAATAGCTCAACAACATCAATAATCTAACATTTAGTCAAATAATAGATGGGAGTCCATGGGTTATACCTTTGTTGCCTCTTCTTCCTTGTATGGATTCCTTCTTCTTCCCAACTCAACCACTACCCCCTTCACCACCTAAATACCTCAAACAAGCCAAACAACAACACTTAAAAGGAGAACCGCAGAGATTTGAAGCTAAAGAGGGGAAGCTAGATGACAAAGGGTGAAATGAACCTAAGAACTTACTGTGTTTCTTCTTTCTCACTTGCAAAGCTCTTGGGTGGGAAGACAAAGAATGGAATCAAGAGGAAATGTTGGCTTTCTATTGCTTTTATATGGGTTCAAAACCCTAGAAGGATTCTCAATGATTGGTGGAGGGCAAAGTGGTCATTTGGTTGATTCTCCAAAATATCAGGCAAGGTTATGGTCCATCTTACAACATGGACCATAGTCTAGGAATGAGATTTTAAATAGTTTGGGGTCAAAAATACATTTTTCCAAAAATGTTTTCTAGATAAACACTTAGTTCAGGTTTCTCAGATTCTTCTAGTTTCACTCAGATTGACATTTGGGTCAAAATTTTGGTACACAATGTACCCGAGAATTTAGGATTTTTGAAATAGAAAAGGGCTTGGTGTTGAATTTTTTTAAAACGTGGCTCAAAATAATTAATTCAAACACCATTTTTAAAATAAAATTTTGGAAGAGTGAAAAATGGCTATTTTAGAATCTCGTAAATAGAATTTAGAAAATTAAATTTTGGATTGTCACAGTTTGTCTCTCGGGGGCTTGTAGGCAGTCAGCCTCGCCCACTGAGGGACTTGACCGTTTTGAAGATTTGTTTGTCTCTCGGGTGCTCGTAGGCAGTCAGCTTCGCTCACTATGGGACTTGGCCATTTTGAAGTTCGTTTGTCTCTCAGGGGCTCGTATGCAGTCAGCCTCGCCCACTAAGGGACTTAGCCATTTTGAAGTTCGTTTGTCTCTCGGCGGCTCGTAGGCAGTCAGCCTCGTCCACTGAGGGACTTGGTCATTTTGAACTTCGTTTGTCTCTCGGAAGCTCGTAGGCCACCAGCCCCGTCCACTAAGAGACTTGGCCATTTTGGAGTTCGTTCGCCTCTCGGGGGCTCGTAGGCGGTCCGCCTCGCCCACTAAGGGACTCACGCGCAGTCGGCTGCAAGTGTGTAAGTTACTTAGTGAAAATAGAAAGCAAAGGGATACCAGTTGGGCGCTCGATTAACCAATCAGGATTGGAGAACAAGGCGGCCGAGAAGTCTTGACATTTCCTTAACCTTTTTTCTACATTTTCAAGTTAGCGCTCATCTAAACCTAAAAAAAGTGAGAGACTGGTGATAAATACCCCAAATCAGACAGCCGGTCGGGGGTATAAGGCAAGGCACGCAGATTCAAGTACGACCTAATACTTAGCAGATAGGCAACACCCATGATCTCAGTTCAACATTTAAAGCACCCAGCCATCCAGGAAAACAAGTGCCTACATCGGCGAAGATCACCCGACTCAGGTTGAGCGACCAGGCACGGTAGTCGGTGTGTCCCCATCTAAAGGCCCTACGTGACTCAGATGGGCGACTAGGTTCCGGGGACGGTGTGTCCCCAGCCGGGTACCACTCAGGAACTTAATCCGGCGACTAGGCTCTGCGGTCGGGGTGTCCTCGCCCGAGTGCCACGGCCCCTCAGGACGTCCGCTTGGCAGCCAGGGAGTTCCCGGCTAGGTGCGCGTCCTGAGGCGGTTACAAGCATATTTTGTGGAGACTTCTTTATTTATTTTAAGTACCTTCCTTTGTTAGCTTAAACAGTTATGGTATGAAGTAGGTCGGATTATATATCGGAATTGGCTCTACGCCAGCCCTACTTTCCATATAGAATTGACTCTACGTTAGCCCTACTTTCCTTATAGGAATCTTTTACTCTAGTATAAATATCCCCCAGAGATCATCATGTAAAGAGACGACAATTCTGGCACTCTAGCGACCGAAACTCTAAAATAATAACACCACGTTATTCTCTCTATCACTCCAATCTTTTATCTATCTAAACCCTTTTTTAAGTATTTACGGTAGTGTTGGCCCGTCGAGCGGCATCCCAAAACCGTAAAACTAACAAGTGTCATTGTTAAACAGACCTTGAACATGTAAATTAGAGTCCAGATTGGACACAATTTCAATAGAAGGATTCTTGTTATTCTTTGAGCCATGAACCACAACATGGGTGTCCTCAGCAATAGCACAGTTCGGTTTGGACTAGGCACGTGATGTGCGAGCTCTCGCAGAGTTACTTGCCTTATTTTGGGGGTCCCCTTGCATGGTTTTTGTCAATTCTCTTTTCTCATTTAGGACTTGTTTTTCCGCAATCTGGATAGTTGGTCGCTTTCCTTTCCCTTTGTTATTTGTTACGCCCGTATCATATCTTGCCATGCAGGCATCAATAGTAACCTCGTTAGTAATTGGCATTCCATTTTCAGCAGTCGTTATACCCTACACCACGGCGCACATAGCACTGTGCGCCGCGCGCCTCCCAAAACGACGTCGTTTTGGGGTCGTTTTGGGAGGCGCGGTAGGAAGTTGTTGGGATTATGTGTATTTGTTCACACAATTATGTGTATTTGTTCATACAATTATGTGTAGCTGTTCATACAGTTATGTACATTTTTTATACAATTATGTACATTCTTTTTATACAATTATGTACATCCGAGTAAGAAAATTTGAGTGTATTATGTTAAGAGTTGATGTATATTATGTTAAAAGTTTATGTTTATTATGTATTATGTTAGATTATGTGTATTATCTTTTAAAAAGAGTATGTATATTTTGTTATATAATTATGTACATTCATGTATACAATTATGTGTATTCTAGTATAACATTATGTACATTTTTGAACAGCGGGTTTTTTTTTAAAGAAAAAATTACTGCCATTCACTGGGGCGGGAAATTTTAAAAAAAATAAAATTAAAACGACGTCGTTTTGGATCTGGGCGCACAGTGCAACGCGCGCCGTGGTGTAGGATATAAATTGCCCATTTTCAGCGTCCACTTTTCCTCCCCAAGCACGGCAAATCTAGACTCAGAAATAAACCCCTTATTAGAATCCTCTTTGTTCTTTATTTGTCTCGTCTATTTTGAACCGCCCACGGCCTTAGTGCCGTTGGAGCCCAACAGCTCCAAAATGTCCTTACCATTTTTAGTAGAATTCTTTCCTTTCTGTCCATGATTTTGCCTGTAATTTCGTTTCGGTGCCAGCACCCAAGTTCCATACTTTTTCGTGATCTCTGGTCGAATCAGAGGGCCCTAATTAGTTTTGAACCTTGCCGCCGGTTGCTATACCTCTGGTCTCCTTCCCCGACGTGTCCTCTTCCATGTCTTTTTCCTTCTCGTCACATTTCTCGGTGTTGTGCCCGTATACCCCATAGTTGAAACAGTTCAGTCCTTCTCACTTTGCACAGGAGCTTGAACTTCGAGAGCAACGTCTTTGTTATGTTGACTTCAACGCACATCCTAGCAAACCTCCCCCGAGACACCACACATGTCTCCTGGTCGACATACTTTGGCTCTCCAATAAGATCACCAATTTTTAATTTAGAAGTCCATATCATAGTATTCTACCGGAAGATCCAGAAATCTCACCCACACCGGCCAACACACGCTCCGTTTTGTTTGGATCAAATTAAAGTTGGGTCTCCAGTCTTGAACTGTTAGGTAGTGATCCATTACCGTCCACGGGCCACCATACTTGGCAAACTTGTAGTCGTTGACGGACCAGATCGAAAGTATTCATCATCAAGGGCAACAACCTCCATTTTAGCTTTCCGGTGCCAAATAGCATGCATCCTCTTAGAAAGATAGGTGTATCTCACTCTGCAACCAAGGACCTTGACCATCACTGATTCCCTCCATGGTTTCCTTATGCGGATCTTATTAGCCTTTGAATCCTTGACCTCCGGGCATTCAGGATCCACCTCTCTATCCTATTTTTCATCCTTAGAGACAATATCCTCAGCTACCTTGGAGCCATGCTTTTTCCAGTCACTGATTCCGCAAAGGTGGGTAAACTGGGGGCATTTCCCTTCTCCCCTTCGCCGCCCGTTTGAGATTCCACTCCCTCCATGGCCTCTCCCTCATTCACGATTTCCGCGCGGTATCAAGCAACAACACACAAGGGTCATCTATGTAATTTCTCCATACAAGGACTTTCTTGTAATATGCCTAGTGTAACTGTTTTACTGCCACCTTTTCTCCTTTATATACATTGTGTAAACAACTTGGAGAAAGTTAGACAGTTATGATACAGCTTTCATCTTTCCCTCTCAACTTCCAGTCACAATCCTTCCACATGACATCACATCTCTCTACACGTTCTGTTCGTTAATATGGTATCAGAGCGGGGAAGAAGCAGTTACGCAGCCGTCGTCATGTCTAGCATAGGAGATTCCGGCCAGAGGACACATCCGTCAACACCGTCGGCCAATCAATCGCCTAATCGCACCACGCCGAGTAACAACTTCCAGAGAACTCTGACTCCGTAGCGGAGCAACAGGTCGGAGGACATAGACAACCCTCTGTTCCTGAGTAGCAATGAGAACACCAACACTGTTCTCGTCAGTCCTCCCCTCACAGGCAGCGCCAACTATGGAACCTGGAGTGTGTCCATGAGAGTTGCGATGGAGGTGAAGAACAAGTGGACCATTGTAGAAGGCACTACACCCGCACCGGATAGAACTCATGCGCAGTACTCAGCCTGGAGGAGGTGCAATCTTATGATATGTTCATGGATCTACAAAGCCGTTCATCCCTTAATCGCGCAGAGTGTGATGCACATTCAAAATGCGAGAGAAGTATGGAACAATCTAAAGAAGCGGTTCTCTCAGCGAGACGCACATCGGATCTCATCTCTGCACTTGGAGATTCAAAATCTGAAGCAAGGAGATATGTCGGTTAACGACTACTATACACGCTGCCGGATCTTATGGGAACAGATGAATGAGCTCAGACCATTGCCGATCTGCATATGTGTTCCTCAATGCTCTTGCAACGCATTTGATGAAATCAGAAATGAGAAGGAGGTTGATCAGATCATCAGTTTTTTGCAAGGATTGAATGAAGAATACAACTCGCTGAAATCCGGTATCCTAGTCCTGGATCCTATGCCTGATTTGCACAAAGTATTGGTCATGGCTGAGAAATTCGAAAGGCAATTGAAGATCGAGAGTCTGAGCCTAAGCCACCTTGAGGTAAACCATGCTAATGCCGTGCAAACTAACCCTGCAGATGATCAAGAAGTTGTGGCTGCTGTTGGATACAACAATAATAAAAGGAATAACAGCTTTGGAACTGGAAATAAATCTGCAAAGTGTACCTATTGTGGCATGACGGGGCACACAATTGAGAAGTTCTATAAAAAGCACGGTTACCCCCCCGGCTGGGTACTGGGATTCAAATCGAGGGGCAAGTAGCAGGCCACGACAGCGGTGTCTACACTCAATGAGCCTACCACCAATGAACAGCTCCAGAAGCTTATCTCCCTCCTGCAGGTCCAGATAGGACAGAATCACCCAACCTCAACAGCTGTTACTCTCACAAAATCACCACCTGATGAAGGCAAGTCTGCTTACTATAATATTGTTAATTCTATTCATCTACAACATTCCTCTTAGATATTGGATTCCGGAGCTACTAATCACATAGTATGCTCTTTAGATTTCTTTGAAACATATCATCCTGTAAAAGGAACAAAAGTCAATTTGCCTGATGGAAAGCAAGCAGAGGTCATGCATATGAGGCATATAAAACTAAGGGATGATCTAAATCTGGAAAATGTTCCGCATATACCCTCCTTCAACTTTAATATCATTTCTGTTAGTCAGTTGCTTCAAGAATCATCTTATGAACTGATCTTTAACTCTCATCAGTGTCTTCTTCGAAGCAACCATGGGAAGCCGATTGGTTTTGCTGAGGAAGGAAGTGGCCTATATCTGCTCACTGAGACACCTGAAGTACAGACATCTGTTCAAGATCAATATATCATGTCATGTAGTAATGAAGTATGGCATAAAAGATTAGGACATTTTCCGTTCAATAAAATGCATTTACTTGCTGATATTAGTGTTTCCCATTCCAAGAAAGTAGCATGTGATATTTGTCACTTTGCAAAACATAAGAAATCCCCTTTTTCCTGTAAGCAGCACTATGTCAAAGATTTGTTTTGAGTTGATTCATGTTGACATCTGGGGTCCCTTTGTAGTTCAATCTTTGAAAGGGGAAATATATTTTCTAAAAATTGTTGACGATTATTCTCGTTTTACATGGGTTTACTTGATGAAAAATAAGTCCGAAACACAAAGTTTAATCAAGGCCTTCCAGAAGATGATTCATACACAGTTTGGCCTATTAATCAAGACCATCCGTAGTGATAACGGTTTGGAATTCAATATGAAGGATTTTTTTGTTGAACATGGCATAGTACATCAAAAGAGTTGTGTCAACACCCCACAACAAAATGCGGTGATGGAACGCAAACATCAACACATCTTGAATGTAGCCAGGGCTCTAAGATTCCAAGCCAATCTTCCATTGGAGTTTTGGGGGCAATGTGTCTTGCATGCCGTTTATCTCATCAACCGCCTTCCATCACCGGTTATAGGATGGTCAAATCTTTATAGAAGACTCTATGACAAGGAGCCAGATCTCAACACCATCAAAGTCCTTGGCTGTTTATGTTATGCTTCCACCTCATCCGTATCCAGACACAAAATGGCTCATATGAGCAGAAAATGTATCCTCATTGGAATGCCTGCCAATATAAAGGGCTATCTTCTATATGATTTGCATGACAATTCCACCTTTTTTTCACGTGATGTAGTGTTCTATGAAGGGCAATTCCCTTATGCAGACAAAGAGCACCAAACTGTTGATAATGCTTCTTCTTCGACTGGTCCATCTCTGCCTATAATTCCCATTTACAACCATGAAGTTTTCGACTTTCAACAATCTGGCTATAACCAGCCCCAAGCAAGTAACAACCCAATGGTGATAAGAGAGCCTCACGTGGACAACAACTTCTTTCAAGAACCAGTGGATAATAATTGTGATGAATCACTGGACAGAAGAATGCATGAACCAGCATGCAATAGCAGTCCTACTGGGCAGGGAGTACATGATCCAATGTGTAATGGCAGTCCACCATTCAATGATCCTCCCACTGATGACAACAGCACCACAAATAGAAGCATAAGTCCCTCTGTCTCTCCTATGCCAACCAGAAAATCCACCCGGACACGCCACTTGCCAAGTCATCTACAAGATTATTATTGTGAGTCTGCTTCCATGAATGGAACCACTCCCCACCTATTATCCAAAGTCATCTCGTATGACTATCTTGAGCCAACACACAGAGTGTTTTCAATGGCGGTTACTGCCATAAGTGAACCGAAAACATATTCACAGGCTGCCAAACATAAATGCTGGAGAGAAGCCATGGATGCAATGATAGAAGCCCTCCAGAAAAATCAGACATGGGAACTGACAAACCTCCCTCCTGGCAAGCATCCTATAGGATGTAAATGGGTCTACAAAACCAAGCTAAAGGCTGATGGCACCATCGAACGACACAAAGAGAGGTTAGTTGCGAAAGGCTACAATCAGCAACTTGGAATAGATTATTTGGAGACTTTTTCTCCAGTAGCCAGAATCACAACTATTCGCCCCTTCCTCGCAACTGCAGTATCCAGGTCTTGGCATATCCACCAGATGGACATTAACAATGCGTTTCTTCACGGAGATCTTAATGAAGAAGTATATATGGAGATGCTCCCCGGGTTTCAGAATGAAAATCCTCATCAAGTTTGCCGGCTGTTGAGATCGCTGTATGGCCTCAAACAGGCTAGTAGACAATGGAACGCAAAGCTAAGTGAAGCCCTACACAACATCGGATTCATACAGTCTAAATCCGATCCTTCCTTATTCACTAAGGGCAATGGTGCTAATTTTATTGCCTTACTTGTCTACGTAGACGATATTCTGGTCACCAGTGCAAATATGAGGCTTATACAAGATTTGAAATGCTTCCTGGATGATATGTTCAAAATTAAGGACCTGGGATTCCTTGGATACTTTCTGGGAATTGAGGCAAAAACATCCAACAAAGGACTCAATCTATGTCAAAGGAAGTATGCACTAGAAATATTGGAGGAGGCCGGATTTCTTGGCTACAAACCTGCAAACACACCAATGGTGCCAAACCTGAAGTTGAATCATGATGGAACACTCCTTGCCGATCCTAGTAGCTACAGAAGATTGATAGGCAAGCTACTATATTTGACAGCTATAAGGCCGGACATATCATATGCCATTCAACAATTAAGTCAATTTGTAGATGCTCCGAAAGATCAACATTTAGCAGCTGCCCATCGAGTACTACGATATATAAAGAATGCACCTGGACAAGGACTGTTTTATCCATCAAACACAGATTTGAAGCTCAAAGTCTTTTCAGACTCAGACTGGGCATCATGCAGCGAGACACGGAGGTCCATAACAGGCTATTTCATATTCCTTGGCTCATCTCTAATATCGTGGAGAGCTAAAAAGCAAGCAACGGTATCAAGATCATCCTCGGAGGCCGAATACCGTGCCATGGCAGCCACGGTTTGTAAGGTACAATGGCTCACTACTCTCCTTCGAGATTTCCATGTTACAATAGATACACCGGCAATCATGTATTGTGATAGCAAGTCCACAATAGCCATCGCCGAGAATCATGTTTTCCACGAACGCACCAAACACATCAACATTGACTGTCACATTGTTCGGGAGAAACTAAATCAAGGACTCATTAAGCTGCTGTCGGTGACATCCTCCAATCAAGTAGCAGACGGTTTTACTAAGCCTCTACCGGTTACTCAATTCCATATTTTCAGGTCTAAGCTGGGCATACAAGATGTGCACGCTCCAGCTTACGGGGGTATCAAGCAACAACACACAAGGGTCATCTATGTAATTTCTCCATACAAGGACTTTCTTGTAATCTGCCTAGTGTAACTGTTTTATCGCCACCTTTTCTCCTTTATATACATTGTGTAAACAACTTGGAGAAAGTTAGACAGTTATGATACAGCTTTCATCTTTCCCTCTTAACTTCCAGTCACAATCCTTCCACATGACATCACATCTCTCTGCTCGTTCTGTTCGTTAATAGGCGGTGATGTTTTCGATTTTTTCGTACTACATTCAAGGAGGTCCTCGCCCTCCACTGTTCTCACCGTCGTAGCCGACGACTTTCTTTGCAGTTCTGGTGCCTCTTTGGTAGAGAGCATTTTTTTTCTATATTGTATATAAACGAATGGAAATTTAATTAGGAGTTTATATATTAACATTTATAATTAATGAACTTGGAGTGAAGAGTTGGGATAAACGGAACTTTTATAGGTCTTAATATTACTTTACAATTTTTTACTTTCATAAATGGAACTTAACAAACAAATCAAATCAAATTACATAAGCTTTCAGAAAAAAAAAAAAAAACAAAATTACATAAGATTTATAACAATCAACAAGATATATATATTCCATTTTAATTTTTTCTTTCTTTAATACAAATTATAACTTATAAGCTAGGCACTGAAATTGAAGTCTTGAATGGACTGGTTTTCATCATCATCAACATCACCCTTCAACTCATCAAGATACTGCTGATAAATATACGACGCAAACCCCCAAAGAGACAACATCAAAGCCATCATCTTCAACCCACTCATCTCTTCGCCCAAGAAAACCACCGACAAAAATGGAATCACCGGCGTGCCTAACCTGATAACAACGTTCGAGAACAACGACGAGACCTTAAAAGTCAAGGCAATGGAGCCAACGTAGTACGCCTGACACGTAACCCCCGTTCCAACGACGTTCAAAAAGTACGAAACAACCCCTTGCTTATACCCCTCCATCTCCGCCTTCAAACCCCACCACTCCCCGCTCCAGAACAGCCCCGCCGCCGTCACCGCCGTCGCCACCACACACTGCCAAAGGGTCATCTTCAACGTCTCCGACATGGTCGACCCCACACCGGCTCCCCCAATCATCTTCTCGAACGCGAGCTCCGTTAACGAGAACAGCAACGCCAAAGAAGCTGCCGAGGCGACAGTGAACAGAGCCCCTAACATGAAACCATCGCCGGCGGCCGGCTCCGGGGATCCTCCGTTATCGTTCTCGATCACCAGAAGGAGAGGGGAAAAGGCGAGAAGCACGACGGAGTTGAGTATATAAGGCGTGAACCTCTGGGCATTGATAAACAGAGCTAAAATGGCAGTGAAGGCTAACTGGGATGATAGGAGAAGAGAGAAAGTAGATGCAGAGAGGTATTCTATGGCCACTGAATAAAACACCCCACCAGCCGCTAACAAGACACCAAGAAAAGTATACACAGAAGCAAGAAGTGGGAGAGAAGGTGGTGGTGGGTTTGAACTATTATTTTTGGTGATTTTGGTGTTTTGATTGGGGGTTTTGGATGATGGGAGGAGGAGAAAAGGGATGAGGAAAGGGAAGCCAGCGGTTTGAAGAGTGGCAACAAGCCATTTGCTGGTACCACCTTGGTCATAATACACTTTTCCCAATAGGGTAGCACCAGCTTGGCCTCCTAGGCTAAGAAATGTGTACATACTTAGTTCAATCCACCATTTGAAACGCATCAAGTAAGAATCAAGTGATTTATTATATTTGGGTTTTGCATCTTGGATTCCCTCTGATTCATCACCTGCATGCAGAAATAGCACAAATAAAAACCACCACCATTCTGTTTAGTAAACTAACTTAAAAGCCAGTGCTAGGGGCCCACATGGCTATCGCCGACAACATCGGGGCAAATAATAAAAACCACAATTCTGTTTAGTATACCTAACTTAAAATCCAGTGCCACGGGCCCTTTTGGCTACCGTCGACAACAATGGTGTGGGGGAGAGGGGGCACTTGCCGGCTGTGGCTGAGGCACCACCCCCTCCCCCATCTGACGCCCTCTTCCATTCCAAACCAAGCCCAAACCTTGCAATTTGAGTCGTTATTGCGCTGATTATGGTTCACACAACTGTGTATACCATAAATAAAAAAGTACATTATTTAAGTACTGAAAATACATTATTTTGTATATTATCATATAATGTACGAAGTAAATAAATATTCTATTTTTAGTATATTAAAATTGTATCTTCTATTCAGAGATAGTACATTATTTGAGTATTGAAAATAAATTATTTTGTATAATGTACATTCAATACACAAATAATGTACTTTAAGTTTATTAAAAATATACTCCATCTATTTCATTTTATCTGTTCTACTTACTATTAATTGGTCAAACCAACTCTTTATTTTTTGCTTGATGGTTTTATTGGGACTGAGTCCACCATAAACCGGACGTAGAGGTATAGAACGGGGGTAAGAAAATAACAGCTTTATTACCCGGGGCGCTAGGCCAAAAATAGTACGTCACAAAGCCGAGGTACAGGCACAAAATGGTGGCCCAAATACAAAGAACAATGCCCAGAAGATGGGCTATAGTTAAATATGCTACTGAAAAAAAAATCGAACCTAAACAAGGGGTTTGAGAACATAAGATCAAGACTACTAGACCATAGTGCTTGTAGTGTTCAGACATGTCCTTGATAGGAAGCCAGGCACCCTGTTTATTGCTTGACCCCCATGTCTTGCACCCTCTACGTGTACGTTCTCAGACTGACTCAATTCGGAGGCTTCCACGTGCCCCACGTCTCTCATCCACATACTATCACTACGCACACGCTGTCCAACCACCTCTGCCATGCACTCCCACGCAACACCTCCCCACCCCCTCACGCCACACCCTGGAAATGGGGAGGGGGGCGCACAACTGGCGCAAAGCCGCGCTTAGGCCAGCCGAGGCCAATTAGCCACCCGCGGGGGCCCCTGTTCGACGTTGATTGCCGCGATAGACCAGCAGTGAGGGGGTGCGACCCTGCGACAGTGGCGCACTGGCCATGTCACCAGGCACGTTTGACGCTCGCGACCTGGCCGAGCCCCCGCCATCGCCAGTGACACCCCCGTCGGACCATCTTCCTCCCCCGAGACCCTTTCGGCCAACGCTAATCCCCCACCTCCATTTTCCTTGGCCCAATACAGCGAGCCCCAACAGATCTTGAGCGCATATCCTATATCCCCATTATTGCTTATTTTCTTTAGTATTTTTTTTTACTTATTCTTAAATTTAATTTTTTGTTTTAATAGTACTTTTAGTGTAATTTCTAAATATATAAATTTTGTATACTAATACTAAACTTAATATTATGAAAAATTGAATTAAAAATAACATCAGTCAAGTCTCGTTAACCTAACCAGACACATAAAATAGGACATAGGGAATATTTTTTTTTATAATTCACACAGTACTATGTGGACCATGGTCCACATAGTAATTTGCCTTGCAATTTGATCCCTTGCCCCCAAGCCCAAATTCCATGCCTAACTCAATTCAATCGTTATATCGCGCACTAGGGCGCACAATGCATTATGCGCCCCTCCCTGCCAAAATGACGTCGTTTTGTTAAGTTGTGTGGAAAGTTGATGCGATGGAGTTTATGTGTATTCTGTTATACAATTATGTACATTCTATTATAAAATTATATACATTCGAAACAGAGAATTTTTTTTAAGAGTTAAGAGTTTATATGTATCATGTATTATGTTAGATTATGTGTATTATCCTTTCAAAAAAGATTATGTGTATACTCTTATACAATTATATACATTCTATTATACAATTATGTACATTCTATTATACACTTATGTACATTCGAAACCTGTGATTTTTTTTAAGAAGTTAACTGCAGACACAAGAAACAAAATTTCCAAAAAAAAAATGTACAAAATGACATCGTTTTGGGTCAGGACGCACAATACGTTTTTGCGCCCTGGTGCATGATATAATTTGCCTGCTCAATTCCTTTTATCAATCAACTCCACTTGGACTCCAATTAATTAGCCTGATAAGCCCATGGTCCATCAACTTTTTTTTTTAGTACATCAATATTGTTTAATTTCTTCCCCTACTTTAATTAATTTAATATCTATACTTTACAAAGGTGTTAAAAAAAAAAAAAAAAAAAAAAAAAAAAAAAAAAAAAAAAAAAAAACTACATTGCCGCCCCGCAAGAAGAAACCATCGCTGACGATAGCATTTTTAATATTTTATTTTATTTTTAAAATAAAATATCGGAATCTTAATAAAAGCTACAGTACAAGTTTAGTTATGGTCCTTTCTTATATTAAAATTATGAATATATGAATTAAATTGCGAGTAATATTCAAATGATAATAGTTCTATGACTTAAATAACGTTTTAGACGGCAGAACACAGGAAAAAGATATGATTAAACTCGCAATCATTTTGTGTGATGATTATTTTATTTTATCTTTTGTTCACATCCTTATCATGATATTTAAATAATATACATTATATGCTACCATATTCATTGATCATTGGCACATATTTACAAATAATAAATTTGAATCTAATTTACAACTTTTAATGTTAATACATGAGGATGAATTTTAATTGGGAGTGATGGATTCTGTCATTTTCTAAAAATAATAAGGTAAAAATAGAAAAAATAAAAGTTAAGAATTTATTTTTGAAACAATACGCTAGTAAGTTTTTTTAAATGAACTATTATTTTAAGGAAAATGCTAAGCAGCACATTCAGATAACAGTAATAGTCTTTTCCATAAACCAACTATACAATTGTCACATCAAAAGTAGTCTCTTGTGAGTGGTAAATACAGGAGTGTATAGCATGATCTTTATTTTGAACTTAATTATTTTATTTACGACTACTATATATACAAACTTAACAAAAAATGTATATAAAAATTATATTTTATTTACTTTATCATTCTTTTGGCGACTTAATCATAAAAATGGTAACCAAGTCCATCTATCATCCGTAATTATTATCGTTAATGAAGACTTGAAGACTTGAAGAGAAGGCCAAAGCCCTTATATATAAATATATAATCCATCAACATCAACTTGGAAAGTAGTTATGAATTGAATAAAATTAATTTGTTGTCAATAATGAAGCTTTATTCTCATTTTTGTGGGTTATATTACTTTATCACTATATATCTTCCGCCCTGCCTGTTGGTCTGTTATTCTGGACCCTTTCAATTATATTATTACTTTCTGGTATACCTTATCTCTATAATGTCGGTCACCGGTTGAACCTCCTGCGAATGTCATAACTAGACTGTGGTCATATTTGATAACTTAGCTAGTTTATCTGTCAATTTTAATTTATTTGACCATTGTTAATTATTTGATTTGATTAAAGACGTTTAATTAATTAAATTTTTTTTGTAATAATTTATTGTTTTAATTAAAATGTTAAAATTTAAAAAGATGTTCAAAAAATTTTTAATTTTGGATCAGATTTTTGAGAAAGTCATTTTGAATGTAATCAGTTATAGCGAACAACTAATTTACTAAATATCTTCCTGCAATCAGCTAATGCTATCAATTAGTCAAACTCATTAACTAAATCAGCTAACAACAATTTACCAAACAGAGTGTGTTTTTCTTTGAGTATACTTAACTAAAGCACTGGGTTTGTTCCAAAAACAAGTGAAAAGAAGCAAAAATAACAGAGAAAGTTTGGAAAGGAAACTCACTTGTGATATCCAACAATCTTTCTTCGACTTCTCCCATGGCAGTTTAGGAGATGGAAACAACAGAAACCTGAAGACCCTTTGGTGCTTTGATACAGAAAAGCGCAGTATAAATATTTGGATGGGTGGAGACAACAAGATATGGAGAACAATACAGGTTATATATAATATGAAGGGTAGTCTCAGTCGTCCATGAGGATGGCTATAAGGAATATGAGTAATGTAGGAAAAGTGGAAAAGGAATGTCACCATATGATAAAGGGATAAAAGAGATCAGAGAATTCTCAAAAAAAAAAAAAAAAAAAAAACAACTGAAAATATAAAATATTTCATCTCTCTGTAAGCTTACATATTACAACTATTTACAGTAGTATAGAGGATATGATAAAAGATAGTTTTAAATGCTGCACCTTTGGGGGAATAAACAGAATTTTGGGAAATAGGAAATCTCATAGTATCTAAGTAAAATTATTAACTATTATTAATGCATTTCATCGTCCAATCTTAATATGAGAATATATACTGCCAGTTTTTTGATTTAACTCTTGAATTTTGCGGTGTATTTCGTTGGTAAAACTCAATAATAATCCTTTATTATTTTATAGAAAAACGGAAAGGATGATTGGATATGATGGGAAGAACGAAACCTTAAAACCTTATTTGCTACCTCCCACAAGTGCTAAGAGCGTTGTAGCCTAAGTTTCTCAGGTTAAAACGTGCTACAGTTCAATCGTTTGAGCACTCAAACTTTGAACCCGGCGAGCTAGAGTAAGGCTTCGAACAGAGTTAGGCTAATCTTATATAGGGTTGGAGGAGTTGAATAGCTTCATTATGACCATTAAAACTGACATAGAGCCTAGTTTTGTAACACCAGAAACAGCAGCCCACTAACTGAGATTAAATTCAAAATTTAAAAGTGCATTAATTCTGTAATGGATGAATTTAAACTCACAACAGTCCAGAATGTTTCTGGTTGGCGGTTGGCCGAGCCATTTGGTGTTTCGGCTCTCGTGCTCCAATTTCGGCCTCCCATGAGCACGAGAGTTCAGTTCGGCCTTAGGCGTAAGGCCGAACTCGCTCGCTGGCTCCAGTCAGATTCGACCTCATAAGGCCGAACCATCAGCACCAAGAGTGAACTCTCGAGCTGGCTCCAGTCAGATTCGACCTCATAAGGCCGAACCATCAGCACAAAGAGTGAACTCTCGAGCTGGTCAAACCATCAGCACCAAGAGTTAACCATCAGCACCAAGAGTGAACTCTCGGGCTGGTGCTGTCTTGGCCGAATCCAGTGGGCGCGAAAAAGACCCTCTATGCTATATAATTCAATAAGGCTTAGAAGAGCTCTTGTATAAATAGTGGTGCAAACCCTCTTCCCAATCAAATGTGGGACAAGCTACTCTCAAGCTTTTACCCTTCATTTTTCCAACTCAAATCGGTGTACTTTGAGAATGAATATCTCATTCACCCATTATCCGTTTTGAGGGTACAATATATCAATCTCTTTGTCTCTCTACGAAGAATTCGAATCCACTTTTACCCGACCCAAATCGAAAGTGGACCCCACTAATAATGGTACCACAAAAGAGCCACTTATAATGCTATTTTATGCCATTTTAAGCTATTTTTTTCAACATATCATACTCCCTCACTTTGAAAAAACTCAACCTCTAGTTTCTCTACTTTAGTATTTCCTTGATCATACAATCATGTTTGACTCTTTTTTTTCCCATCCTTTTTCCTTGCTTGGAGAAGACTCACGCAAGAAACTTTCCAACAAATGTCTTTAAGACTTAGTAATTAACCTCTTGAACATGGTCTTTGATAAGCCCATCCAATTAGAGATGTCAATTCAACCCGACCATGATGGGGCCAACAAATGGCTTTAAGACTTAGTAATTAACCTCTTGAAAACATGGTGTTTGATAGGCCCATCCAATTAGACATGTCAATTCAACCCGACCATGATGGGGAAACCCGGTCAGGCAAATTTTACTGTGGACCGCAATGTATTGTAGTTCATGTATCAAAACGGTGCCGTTTTTTTCATTAAAAGAAACGGCACCGGTTCCGCGCCGTTCCACAAAAAGTAACTCTGTTTGTATAGCATATGCAGTTTCATTTTATATACACTGCAATTTCATTTCAACACAACTACAATTTCATTTCGATATAACTACAGTTTCATTCGACATTATACACTCAAATATGTGAAACTGTTTTTTCATTTTCATTTTATATACACTACAGTTCCATTACAACACAACTACATTATCATTTCAATATAACTACAGTTTCAATTCATTGGATAATATACACTCAAATATATGAAATTCTTATTTAGTTTCATTTTATATACAGTGCAGTTTCATTTCGATATAACTACAATTTCATTTCGATATAGCTAAAGTTTCATTCGACATTATACATCAAATATGTGAAATTGTTATTCAGTTTCATTTTATATACACTATAGTTTCATTACAACACAACTACAATATCATTTCGATATAACTACAGTTTCACTGGACAATATACACTCAAATATGTGAAACTGTTATTCAATTTCATTTTATGTACAATGCAGTTTATTTTCAACACAACTACAGTTTCATTTCAATTCAATTACAGTTTCATTTGATAATATAAAAACAATATATGAGGCAGTTTCATTTTATATACACTGTAGTTTCATTTTGTAATTAACCAACCAAAAATACGTGCTCTGTTAAGCTATAACGGCAGTCATTTCTTTACTTAAAGAAACAGCGTCGTTTTTGGACCATGGTCCAAGATATAATTGCTAACCTAGTCCCCGCCCCGACGGGGACGGGAAATTTTTTCGGGGAATGGGGTAGGGATGAGGAGAGTTTTCCCATTCCAACCAGGGACAGGGATTGCATCCCCGCTCCAACCCCGAACCCCGACCTCGAAACTCCGAAATATATATTATATTATATTATACTCCGTATTATATAATTATATGTCATATACTAATATTTATATGAACTAATATTTAATTTGGACGTTTGATTGATTTTCAAGTTATTATATATAGATATTTGGTATTTTGGTTAAGAGTTAATTCCAGCAATGGTCCTCGGATTATTGTGATTTTTCAAAATTGGTCATCATCTTTTAATTTGGACAAAAAAGACACTTACTTTCAGATTTGTTCTAGCATTGGTCCTTCCATTAACCTTCAGTTTGTTAGGCATTAGTGTAGGGGCTAAAATGGTAATTTCCTTATCTTATTGCTTTCTTCTTCCTCATGTTGACTGAGTATATGTATTAGATGCAGATGAGCAAGATGAAAACTCCATTATTTCTCACCTAGCTTCCTCACTAGCCAAATTTTCCTTCTCACTTAGCCCAAAATATAGGGTGGTTCCTCCACTATTTACATGCCATTATCACCCATAGTCCCTGTTATTTTTGAAAAATAATTTGCCAACTCATACAAACAAATAGCGAATTCTGTAAAACTATCCAGGCAAAGAGTACCCCCACCCCCCTCCCCCTCCCCCACACCCAAATCAACCAGAAAAAAAAATTATTGTGGGTGTCACTTTTGTTCATCCAATTTCTTCCAATCCCGATTGTATATTTGATTGACAAGTGTTATTTAGCTCACCTTGTTTTGAGTCTCTAAACGTCTTTATCATTCTTATCCTCGATCTGGAAGGCTACTGAATTAAAAGTCTATGCATAAGCAAATTTGAAAAAAATAACCCTTGCAGTGGAAATTCCTCTAGCTTCTTTGAATGATGATGGGAGAGTAGTAATTGGCACTAAAATGAAAAACAAAAATGTGGTTTTAGAGCCGGAAAATGAATCTGTCACTAAAGAAGAGAAGAGAAAACTACATCTGAAGATGAAGTTAGGCAAGCAATGTGGAGGAACCGCCCTATATTTTGGGCTAAGTGAGAAGGAAAATTCGACCAGTGAGAAAGCTAGGCGAGCAAGCTAATTGAGAAGCAATGGAGTTTTCGTCTTGCTTCTCTGCGTCTAATACATGTACTCAGTCAACATGAGGAAGAAGAAAGTAATAAGCTAAGGAAATGACCATTTTAGCCCCTACTCTAACGGCTAACAAACTGAAGGTTAACAGAAGGACCAATGCTGAAACAAGTCTAAAAGTCGTCAAGTGTCTTTTTCGTCCAAATTAAAAGACGAGGACCAATTTCAGAAAATCACAATAGTTGGAGGACCATTACTAGAATTAACTCGAACTTTAGTTTTGAATAGTTTGAATCTTTAAGTATTGTTTAATGTTTTAAGTATTTTGTACTAGTTGCATTATAAAATGATGGGAGGTTATGCTAATTGAATATTTAAATATATAAATTTATAAATTGATAAATGTATAAATTAATTATATAATTTAAATAACATTATTTTATACTGTATTAAAAATTGAAAAGTGTATTTTTTTAAAAAAAAAATCGGGCTCCCCGTCCTTGAAAAATCCCCGCGGAGATGGACCCCCATCCCTGTCAGGGAACGGAGCGGGGATGAATTCGGGAGTGGGGGCGGGGACCCCATTCTTCGCCCCCGCCCTGTTGCCATCCCTACATCCAATGACATAACTACTCCGTAATAATTTATAGGTGTTGTCTTGTATCTTGAACATCATGTTCAATTCCAAGCACCTTTGGTTCTTTCATATAGTTGAGAATAAAAACTCCTTAATTAAATCAACTTTACAAAACGTAAGATCTGTTGGAAAAAATAGCTTAAAATACCAAAATGACATTATAAGTGGCTATTTTGTGGTACAATTATTTGTCAGGTCCACTTCCGATTTGTGTCGGGTCAAAGTGGATTCGGATTCTTCGTAGTGAGACGAAGACATTGATATATTGTACGCTCAAAACAGATAATGGGTGAATGAGATATTGATTCTCAAAGTAGACCCATTTGAGTTGGAAAATGAACGGGAAAAGGTAGCTTTTGACCAACATTGGTTTGGGAAGTGGATTTGCACCACTGTTTATATAGGAGCTCTTCTAAGGCTTATTGAATTGTATAGCATAGAGGAGATTAAAAAGGCTTGATTCAGGCTTGTACGCAAATGTTTCCAAATGCAGCCATTGTAACTTGATAGCTGTAACTCGATTTGAAGCAGTCGAAATAGTCAGAGCCAGCCAAAGCTAGTTTGTTTTATCATGGGAAACCTATGCTACAACGCTTCTAGCACTTGTGGGATCGATTTGAAGCAGCCGAAATAGTCAGAGCCAG